ACTCGGATCGATAATATTACGTTTCGTTAAATTTGATAATATTTTGTCCGAGTAATAAAGTCTCTTTATTCTCCAGCAGACTTTTGCTAAAGCGGACATTTTCTGGATCTATGCCAGCCCTCGAACTATGACTAAAATCTCTGTTTTCCAATCGATAGGTAATATATTATTAGCATTAGACTTCCCAACATTTTTAAGTATGCTAACTCCTACAACAACTTCATATACGTTCCAAATAGAATCTTCTCAGTATTTCAGAAATGCTTCTTTCTCGACAAAAAAAAACTCTTTCCAGGAATCTGAAAAGGATTCTCATAAGAATCGTTACCAAGTTCTTTTTTTTGTTGCCTATGAAACTAGGAGAACCTTTCGCTTGTTTAGAGCATGTTAGAGAAAGACATTCTCGAAAGTTTTATGAAGTTCTCTTCGAAGAAGAAGAATTTGTTATTCATAGATAACGACGATAACGATTCTTTTTCTCGTTCATTGTAGTGATTCCCAATATTCCAGCCAATACCCGATGGGCACAGAAAGGTGTGACTGTTGCTGGAGATCACGGGAAAGGTGATGCCACAAATCAACTCGACTGGCCTCAAGGTCTCTTCGTTGACGGTGATCAAACGCTTGTCATCGCTGACTGCTTGAATAATCGTATCATCCAATGGAAGAAGGATGATACGAATGGACAAGTAGTAGCTGGTGACAATGGCGCAGGAAGACGATTGGATCAATTGTATCAACCAACCGATATGCTGATCGACAAAGAGACTGATAGTCTCATTATCTGCGATTCAGAGAATCGACGAGTCGTACGATGGTCTCGTCGCAGTGGCACAACTCAAGGAGAAATCCGCATCGACAACATCGATCCTTTTGGACTGACCATAGATGATCAGAGATATCTCTACATCTCTGACTACAAGAAACATGAAGTAAGACGATATAAAATAGGAGACAAGAATGGAACTATGGTGGCTGGTGGCAATGGCAAAGGTGATGGTCTCAATCAACTCAACGTTCCGGGATACATCTTTGTCGATCAACAACAGACTGTCTACGTGTCAGACAACGAGAATAATCGTGTGATGAAATGGAATAAAGGTGCAAAAGAAGGAATTGTCGTCGCTGGAGGTCAAAGCCAAGGGAGTGCTCTGACACAATTGTCGTGTCCTGAAGGACTGTTCGTCGATACGTTGGGTGCCATCTATGTGGCAGACTCGTTTAGTAATCGAGTGATGCGTTGGCCTAAAGGAGCGAAACAAGGCACTGTCATTGTGGGTGGAAATGGTGAAGGAAAACGAGCAAATCAGTTCAACTGTCTCCGTGGTTTGTCCTTCGATCGACAAGGCAATCTCTATGTCGTCGATGAGTATAATCATCGTGTTCAACGATTTTCAATCGAATGAACTCAACACGATGGATTTTTTTCTTTCCTTTCAAATAAATTCACGTTGAATCGATGAAAACAATGCTTATTCTATTCGTGCGCGCGCGACCAGGAACTACCCTGGTGGAGCCGTGACAAGCATAAGGCTCATGCACGCGTGGGAAGACCCACGTCATCCACATGCACCCATCCGATATCATGTGTCAGTGAGTCTGGGGGCCCAGTCGTGTGCCACGGACACCAAAGCAGTTCCTGGCCGGGCTTTTAGGGATTACCCGGAAGTCCTTCATATAACGCGAACCTAACCTCAACGGATAGAATTCACCCTCTATTCTCATACTCAAAAAAAAGAAAAAAAAAAGTAACTCACCCTGTTAACGATCACGTGATGCGATGATATTGATGACTAAAAGGAAAAGAAAAAAAATCATAGGAGAACTTACCATCCTTCATATGATACAAAAAAGAAAACAAAAATTAAAACTAATACCTACATTTTATTTTATGGTCTTGTTCGATGTTGAATTATTCCATATCATGTTGCTGCATTCGTTCTAAAATAGAAAAGAAAAAGATTATTATATGATTCAATAAATTGAATGATTTTACATAGAAAATCATTCATATTTATACGCTAAAAGGACATTAATTATGTCATATTATCATTGATCATCAATGATAACATGAACGATAAATTTTGGACGAGAGAAAGGAAAGAAAAAGAATTCTCTTCACTTTTTTTTCTCATTCTTTTTTCTCGATCATGTTCATTTGTGAACACAAAGCAGACGAACACACACGATATTCAAGTATGTGTTGTTCATCTTAAACAACTACGAAGGTAAATTGTTTTATTTTATTGTAAAAATATGTTATTGATGCACGTATATTGTTCCAACAGAATATAAATTTATTGTGTGCTTTTTTCTTTTAGAATTAGTTTCAATTATTTAGATTGCATTGGAAGTTGCTCAAGCGTTAGATGATAAATATTGTTGGAAAAAATTAGCCTTTCATTACTTAATTACAAGAAATTATGAAACANTTTTCAAAGTGTGATTCCGTCACAACGTTTTTTTCTGTTTATAAGAACTAGTTATGATATATTTTGAATTACTTTTTTTCTATATATAGCTCGTCATCTTAGCTATAACTTTCTTATAGAAAGGTTTTTGATACCACCTATAGTTGAGCTAAAAATTTTATTTCTTTACATAACACTCAAGCTCAAGATCCATTTTTGGTGATTCCGTAACGATGCTATATTTCAATTATAAAAGCATTCAGGATAGTATGAAATTTAACGAAACTTTTCTTAAACATAGAGCATTACTACTACTGTTTCTTTCTAACAAAATCAGCTTTATTCGACTTACATAAGTTGACATATTCAAGGCACAATCTTAAAAAACGTGATTCTGTCACGAATGGACATGCCGAAATGTCCTTTGACTAAGAAGTAATAGTCATCAATAGAAAAGACAAAAGTCCGTTGATGATAGAAAAGTGATGTACATGAATAGTAAAGTATCACAATAGTCCGGTAAATAAAAGGAAAAGTCCGCTAAATTAAGTGAAACGCGCGCTAAGAGGTAGGACGTGGATAGATAATATTACTTTTCATTAAATTTGATAATATTTTGTCCGAGTAATAAAGTCCCTTTATTCTACAGCGGACTTTTGCTAAAGTGGACACTTTCTGGATCTATGCCAGCCCTCATCTCAAGAGGATTCTCATAAGAATCGTTACCAAGTTCTTTTTCTGTTGCCTATGAAACTAGGAGAACCTTTCGCTCGTTTAGAGCATGTTAGAGAAAGACATTCTCGAAAGTTTTGTCACGTTCCCTTCGAAGAAGAATTTGTTATTCATAGACAACGACGAAAACGATTCTTTTTCTCGTTCATTGTAGTTATCCCCAATATTCCAGCCGATGCCCGATGGGCACAGAATGGTGTGACCGTTGCTGGAGGTCACGAATATGGTAGTGCCACCAATCAACTCTACTACCCTTATGGTCTCTTCGTTGATGATGATCAAACGATTGTCATCGCTGACTGGGAGAATCATCGTATCATCCAATGGAAGATGGGTGATACGAATGGACAAGTAGTAGCTGGTGGCAATGGCGAAGGAGAACGATTGGATCAATTGAATCATCCAACCGATGTGTTAATAGACAAAGAGACTGATAGTCTCATTATCTGCGATTATGGGAATGGACGAGTCGTGCGATGGTCTCGTCGCAGTGGCACAACTCAAGGAGAAATCCTCATCGACAGTGTCGATCCTTTTGGACTGGCCATGGATGATCAGAGGTATCTCTACATCTCTGACTACGTGAAACATGAAGTACGACGATATCAAATAGGAGACAAGAATGGAACTCTCGTAGCTGGTGGAAATGGCGAAGGTGACGGTCTCAATCAACTCAGCTGGCCGACCTACATCTTTGTCGATCAACAACAGACTGTCTACGTGTCAGACCACTACAATCATCGTGTGATGAAATGGAATAAAGGTGCAAAAGAAGGAATTGTCGTCGCTGGAGGCCAAGGCGGAGAGAGTGCTCTGACACAATTGTCGAATCCTTATGGACTGTTCGTCGATACGTTGGATACCATCTATGTGGCAGAATGGGGGAATGATCGAGTGATGCGTTGGCCTAAAGGAGCGAAACAAGGCACTGTCTTGTGGGTGGAAATGGTGAAGGAGCAGGAGCAAATCAGTTCAAATATCTCAGCGGTTTGTCCTTCGATCGACAAGGCAATCTCTATGTCGTCGATTGGGGCAATCATCGTGTTCAACGCTTTTCAATCGAATGAACTCAACACAATGGATTTTTTTCTTTCCTTTCAAATAAATTCACGTTGAATTGATGAAATGAATGCTTATTCTATTCGCGCGCGTGCGACCAGGAACTACCCTGGTGGAGCCGTGGCGAGCGTAAGGCTCATGCACGCGTGGGAAGACCCACGTCATCTACTGCACCCATCCGATGTCATGTGTCAGTGAGTCTGGGGGCCCAGTCGTGTGCCACGGACACCAAAGCAGTTCCTCGCCGGGCTTTTAGGAACTACCCGGAAGTCCTTCATATAACTCGAACCTAACCTCAATGGACAGAACTCACCCTGTTAACGATCACGTGATGCGATGATATTGATTACTAAAAGGAAAAGAAAAAAAATGAATTATTGAAAAAAAATCATAGAAGAACTTACCATCCTTCATATGATATAAAAAAGAAAAAGAACACAAAAATTAAAACTAATACCTACATTTTATTTTATGGTCTTGTTCGATGTTGAATTATTCCATATGATGTTGTTGAAGTCATTCTAAAATAGAAAAGAAAAAGATTATTATATGATTCAATAAATTGAATGATTTTACATAGAAAATCATTCATATTTATACGCTAAAAGGACATTAATTATGTCATATTATCATTGATCATCAATGATAACATGAACGATAANCATAAGAATCGTTACCAAGTTTCTTTTTTTGTTGCCTGTGAAACTCGGAGACCCTTTCGCTTGTTTAGAGCATGTTAGAGAAAGACATTCTCGATAGTTTTATCAAGTTTCTTCGAAGAAGAAGAATTTGTTCTTCATAGACAACGACGATAACGATTCTTTTTCTCGTTCATTGTAGTTATCCCCAATATTCCAGCCAATGCCCGATGGGCACAGAATGGTGTGACCGTTGCTGGAGGTCACGAACGTGGCAATGCCACCAATCAACTCGCAGGGCCTCTAGGTCTCTTCGTTGATGATGATCAAACGATTGTCATCGCTGACCACTGGAATCATCGTATCATCCAATGGAAGATGGGTGATACGAAGGGACAAGTGGTAGCTGGTGACAATGACGCAGGAAGACGATTGGATCAATTGAATCATCCAACCGATGTGCTGATCGACAAAGAGACTGATAGTCTCATTATTTGTGATCGATGGAATAAACGAGTCGTACGATGGTCTCGTCGCAGTGGCACAACTCAAGGAGAAATCCTCATCGACAATGTCTCTCCTTGGGGATTGACCATGGATGATCAGAGATATCTCTACATCTCTGACTACGAGGAACATGAAGTAAGACGATATAAAATAGGAGACACGAATGGAACTCTCGTGGCTGGTGGCAATGGCAAAGATGATGGTCTCAATCAACTCAACTGGCTGAGATACATCTTTGTTGATCAACAACAAACTGTCTACATGTCAGACTGGAGCAATCATCGTGTGATGAAATGGAATAAGGGTGCAAAACAAGGAATTGTCGCTGGAGGTCAAGGCAAAGGGAATGCTCTGACACAATTGTCGTGTCCTAATGGACTGTTCGTCGACACGTTGGGTACCATCTATGTGGCAGACTCGTGGAACGATCGAGTGATGCGTTGGCCTAAAGGAGCGAAACAAGGCACTGTCATTGTGGGTGGGAATGGCCAAGGAGCAGGTGAAAATCAGTTCAACTATCCTCGTGGTTTGTCCTTCGATCGACAAGGCAATATCTATGTCGTCGATTGGCATAATAATCGTGTTCAACGTTTTTCAATCGAGTTAACTCAACACGATGGATTATTTTTCTTTCCTTTCAAATAAATTCACGTCGCATTGATGAAATGGATGCTTATTCTATTCGCGCGCGACCAGGAACTACCCTTGTGGAGCCGTGGCGAGCGTAAGGCTGATGCACGCGTGGGAAGACCCACGTCATCCACATGCACCCATCCGATGTCACGTGTCAGTGAGTCTGGGGGCACAGTCGTGTGCCACGAACACCAAAGCAGCTCCTGGTCGGGCTTTTAGGAACTACCCGGAAGTCCTTCATATAACGCGAATCTAACCTCAACGAACAGAACTCACCCTCTATTCTCATACTCAAAAAAGAAAAAAAAAAGAACAACTCACCCTGTTAACGATCACGGGATGCGATGATATTGATTACTAAAAGGAAAAGAAAAGAAATGAATTATTAAAAAAAATCATAGAAGGACTTACCATCCTTCATATGATATAAAAAAGAACAAAAATTAAAACTAATACCTACATTTTATTTTATGGTCTTGTTCGATGTTGAATTATTCCATATCATGTTGTTGCAATCATTCTAAAACAGAAAAAGAAAAGATTAACATTTGATTCAATAAATTGAATGATTTTACATAGAAAATCATTCATATTTATACGCTAAAAAGACATTAATTATGTCATATTATCATTGATCATCAATGATAACATGAACGATAAATTTTGGACGAGAGAAAGGAAAGAAAAAAAAATTCTCTTCAATTTTTTTTCTCGATCATGTTCATTTGTGAACACAAAGCAGACGAACCCACACGATATTCAATTATGTGTTGTTCATCATTCAAATTCATTTTTTACAATGAAATAATTGTGTTTTAGTTGGAATGTCAACGTTCAGCTCATGTTGTTGTTGTTGGAAATCATAACACCAAAAAGATGTTCATCTTAAACAACTACGAAGGTAAATTGTTTTATTCTATTGTAAAAATATGTTATTGATGCACGTATATTGATCCAACAGAATATAAATTTAGTGGAAATATGAATGTAAATTTATTGTGTGCTTTTTTTCTTTTAGAATTAGTTTCAATTATTTAGATTGCATTGGAAATTGCTCAAGCGTTAGATGATAAATATTGTTGGAAAAACTTAGCCTCTCATTACTTAATTACAAGAAATTATGAAACAGAAAAGAAAAATGGTGAAAATTGGTTTGAAAAGTTCTTGCTGTTTTCATTTTAATTTATTTTTATTAAATAGAATCAGTTGCTTATANTCGACGAGTCGTACGCTGGTCTCGTCGCAGCGGCACAACTCAAGGGGAAGTCCTCATCGCCAATGTCGATCCTTGTGGATTGACCATGGATGATCAGAGATATCTCTACACCTCTGACTACAAGAAAGATGAAATAAGACGATACCAAATAGGAGACAAGAATGGAACTCTCGTGGCTGGTGGCAATGGCAAAGGTGCTGGTCTCAATCAACTCAACTATCCGCACTACATCTTTGTTGATCAACAACAGACTGTTTACGTGTCAGACAACGAGAATCATCGTGTGATGAAATGGAATAAAGGTGCAAAAGAAGGAATTGTCGTCGCTGGAGGTCAAGGCCGAGGGAATGCTCTGACACAATTGTCGCGTCCTAATGGACTGTTCGTCGACACGTTGGGTACCATCTATGTGGCAGACTCGAGGAATCACCGAGTGATGCGTTGGCCTAAAGGAGCGAAACAAGGCACTGTCATTGTGGGTGGAAATGGTGAAGGAGAAGGTGAAAATCAGTTCAACTATCCCGCGGGTTTGTCCTTCGATCGACAAGGCAATCTCTATGTCGCCGATGTGAACAATAATCGTGTTCAACGCTTTTCGATCAAATGAACTCAATACGATGGAGTTTTGTCTTTCCTTTCAAATAAATTCACGTCGCATTGATGAAAACAATGCTTATTATATTCGAGCGCGCACGACCAGGAACTACCCTGGTGGAGCCGTGGCGAGCGTAAGGCAAATGCACGCGTGGGAAGACCCACGTCATTCACATGCACCCATCCGATGTCATGTGTCAGTGAGTGTGGGGGCCCAGTCGTGTACCACGGATACCAAAGCAGTTCCTGGCCGGGCTTTTAGGGACTGCCCCGAAGTCCTTCATATAACGCGAACCTAACCTCAACGGACAGAACTCACCCTCTATTCTCATACTCAAAAAAGAAAAGAAATGAATTATTGAAAAAAATCATAGAAGGACTTACCATCCTCCATATGATATAAAGAAAAAAAACAAAAATTAAAACTAATACCTACATTTTATTTTATGGTCTTGTTCGATGTTGAATTGTACCATATCATGTTGTTGCATTCGTTCTAAAATAGAAAAGAAAAAGATTATTATATGATTCAATAAATTGAATGATTTTACCTAGAAAATCATTCATATTTATACGCTAAAAGGACATTAATTATGTCATATTATCATTGATCATCAATGATAACATGAACGATAACTTTTGGACGAGAGAAAGGAAAGAAAAAAAATTCTCTTCACTTTTTTTTCTCTTTCTTTTTCCTCGATCATGTTCATTTGTGAACACAAAGCAGACGAACACACAATATTCAAGTATGTGTTGTTCATCATTCAAATTCATTTTTTACAATGAAATAATTGTGTTTTAGTTGAAATGTCAACGTTCAGTTCATGTTGTTGTTGTTGTTGGAAATCATAACACCAAAAAGATGTTCATCTTAAACAACTACGAAGGTAAATTGTTTTATTTTATTATAAAAATATGTTATTGATGCACGTATATTGTTCCAACAGAATATAAATTTATTGTGTGCTTTTTTCTTTTAGAATTAGTTTCAATTATTTAGATTGCATTGGAAATTGCTCAAGCGTTAGATGATAAATATTGTTGGAAAAAA